GACCATCACGGCGGCCCACCAATACCTCAGCGACGTCTATTTATCTGGCATGGAAGCCGCCGAGCCGCGACACTATACACGGCGAGTTCCTTGGATATCGCATAGGATATCGGCGACGCGAGAAAGCGGATGAAGAGATGAAAAACGTTTACATTCGCGATCCTGCTGTCGACGTAAGTCATGTAACATGTCCTATCTCAACGCACCATTTGTTAAAGGAGTAAAAGCAAAAAAAGAGGAGAGAAAAAAAAAAGAAAACAAAAAAACGAAAGAAAGGAGAGAGAAAAAAAAAGAATGTGCGCTCTTTGTCTTTCAGAATCACAGTATTCACAATTTGGATACCTTCACGCAGTACCTTGTTTCCCTGCAAGTATTCAATCCCGAGGGTCACGGACCCGCCTCGACTGTGACGGTGATGACCGATGAGGGTGGTAAGTAAGGGAGACAGAAGGAAAAAAAAAGAAGGAAATCGTTTGCGATCTCGCGCGTGAGATGTGACGGAAGTGTCGTGGGCTAATAAAACTATGTGTGTATGTGTGCGTATGTACGAAATCAAATTAGGGAAATTCTCCGAATATAATAAGCGCGGAATACAGAATGCCGCCTGTACCCGAGCACGGTAAAGCAGAACGCATCGTTCGTAACAAGGCATTGAACGGAAAGCTGGTTTAGCTGCAGCTGCAAGACGAGAGTTCTACGTAGTTTAACGAAGGCAGATGCGTTTCCTTGCGCACAATACGGCATTTGTATTAACATTTGTGTTAATTATAAAGCCGAGAGACTCCCGAGTTGCTCTCAGCTAGACTTGGATCGTTCCTCTTGTCTGATGATAATTCGAACGTAGCTGATTACGAACGTATCTTGTCGAAACACTCTCGGTACTTTGTGACTACAATCGAAAAGTCAAGACGAACAAGCTTTACAAACAATTTCTCCGCGGGAAAACGCGAAAGTGTCAAGGTCTCTCCGCGGCAAAAAGTTTTCGTCCTCGTGTCTAAAAGATTTAGAACGCATTTAGAACGCATCATGGTAGCCTATATAAAATTGCCGCCGGTAATTCATCATTTTCATCGTTTATAGCCTGAATCATCGTCATTACGGCTCTGCGCATCTACCGCCGACAACTTTCTAGCTACCGTCGCACTCTCATCTGTGCACGATAGAAATTTCTCGCGAACGCCGGAGTGCTCCATTCCCGAAGGGGAGTGTATTCCCATAACCCGTGTCTAGAGCAGGAATAACACCGTGCTCAACGGAGAATACGCTTGAGAATTTCTCATCCACGAAGATAGATCTCATCCAAGAAGATATTTCTCAACATTCAATATAGATTTAGTATCATTTCAGGAGAGATCCTATTCTGTAAATTTATCAGAAGTTCCGCGAGATACTTTGTTTTGTAAGGCTGTTAAAGAGAACGGGAAGAGCGGCGAAAGAGAGAGGGAAAGGAAAACGAGAGATGAAGAGAGAGGACAGAGGCAGCTGATTCAAAGGTCCAAGAGGGAAAGAGAGGAGGCTCCCGCTCGAGCGAGAGAAAGAGCGAGAGAGAAACAGTCACGGGAGGAAGGGGAAGAAGTAGGGATCGTGACAGCCGGCGACCGTGCGACAGAGGAAGCCGAGGACTACGGAGAGAGCCTAGAGAGACGAAGAGGAAGAGAGGGTCGAGAGAGGGAGACAGAGAAAGAGGGAGAGAAAGAGAGAAAGCGGGAGCAGCTGCCACGGCGTTTCGGTCGGCGCCGCGCCTGGTCTCGACGATCGATTTTCCCCGATTTTTCAGTACGCGGCGGTCGAGACAGAGTGAGTGAGTGAGTGAGTGAGAGAGAGAGAGAGAGAGAGAGAGAGAGAGAGAGAGAGAGAGAGAGAGAGAGAGAGAGAGAGAGAGAGAGAGAGAGAGAGAGAGAGAGAGAGAGAGAGAGAGAGAGAGAAGAGAAAGAGAGAAAGAGCAAGAACGACAGTTCGCCGAGATGGCGGCGGATCGTCGATTCCGACGACGCCTCCTCCGGATCGCTGGTTGACGCCTAGTTCGCAAAATCGCAAGGATATATCGCGGCCGAGGATATATCCGTTCGCCTGGGTGTGGGGATCCTTTGTTCGGATCGCGCGAGTCGCCGGGAGTCTCTCTTCGATCGGACGGACGGACGGCCCCACGGTGCTCCGAATCGGATTTTGGAGTGGGTAGAGAGAGAGAGAGAGAGAAAGAGAGAATGAGAGAGAGAAACGACGGGGTCGTGGGGTCGATATGACGCGAGCGTGAGCGAGATGTGCACGTCGTGCAGTGCCAAAATGAGACTGGTGCGGCGACGAACCCGTAATATCCTCGATATCCCGCGGCAGGATGCGCTGTGAATCTCGTAGCCTTCGAGGGCCTTTCTCTCCGCCTCGCGTTCGATCGTCCGTTTCGCTTCCAATGCATCGGGCATAGATAGATGCAGGAAGCACAGGGCAGTAGTACCGTTCTGTCCTTCGGAAAAATCCTTGAAATTCTTTCATGCCTTCGTGAACTTGTGAATGACGATTCGACGATGAGTGCTTGAAAGAGAAGTGGACGAGGAGGAAGCTGATTAATCGATGTTTCCCATAGAGGAACGCGAAGACGACTTGTATTCATCGTGCAGAAAAATAACACTTGCTGAATTCTCTGCTGTCTTTCTCTCTCTTTCTCTCTCTTTCCTTTCAACTTTGCTTTTCAGTATACGTTGACTCGAACGCGAATCATCATTGTGAGCACGTTCTGCGAGTGACTTTGATTATCGAGAAGCATTAATCGGTTTCGATGAGACGACGGGTGCCATTAAAGTGAAATTGAGGACTAAATCGCAGCTTTTCCTCGTCGCTTAGCTTTCAATCCTTTTATATTCGAAGGAAGAATATCTCCTATAACTTATTTTGATTGTAAGAAGCTTCAAAAGAACTTCAATGACACTTCGTACGACCTATTCTCTTTGTATTCATAAGCGATAGAAAGAAACCTAAGTATTATATGAGTCACCTTGATTAACGAGGAATATCGATAAAAGATTTCGATGACGCATCGACGTCTGTTTCATTTTACATTTGCTATAAGAAACCGTAATTATCTAAATGTGCTGTTATCACGAGAAGAAGATTTCAATTGCTAAAAGAAAAATTTTTCAAATTTGACCAGACGATAAATAATAAAGAACCCCGCTGCGATTTTAAAAATAATCAAACTGTGAGTTTATATCGTTGAATGATAAAAAAAGAAGAGCGGAACGAGAGAATCACGGTGTCTCCCTAACTTCCGCCTTGATTCGACGCGAAAGGAAAAATAGCGGAATCGAACGATTCCGTCGTGGCGCGGCGACGCGCAGCGGCGACGACGACGACGACGACGACGACGACGACGACGATGACGACGACGACGACGACGACGACGATGACGACGACGACGACAACGACGCGATGTTGAAGGACTCGGTCGTCGTTGCGAATTCGATCGGTGAAACTCGGTGCATCCGCCGGTGACCACATCGTGGTAACGCGCGGGGAAAGGGGCGCGGGGAATGAAGCGACAGCGACGATGACGACGATGACGGATCGTCGCAGGATCGACGACATGGTTCAACGCACGCTTCGGTGTTTTTTCCTTTGCGTAAAAAAATCGCGCTCGCGCGATCGGGGTCAATCCATTCGAATCCGCCGTATCGCTTCGAATCGCGGACGAAACTCTCGGCTCGTCCCAATTTCGACTCGACATTCCTCATGAATGATCCCCTCGTTTATCGGCGCGATATGCATCCTCCGATATGCGTTTCTCTCTTTCTCTCCTCTTATCGAGCGGCCCCGAGGAGGAAAGAGATCACGCTTTCTGAAGCACTTATTGTCTCGGTCTGCTCTTTCGCTTCCTCCTTTTGGAAGACGAAACGCTGATTACGCTGCGAAATCCTTTACAGCGCGAATGTGCTAATTTTTACGATCGTTATCGTCCGCTTCGTTCTCCTCGGGTAATCGCGACGTAATTTTCGATAGCGCATCATTACGAGGCGTTCGTTTCGCGCCAAGCCAAATGCAGACGAGTTACGAGACGGGGCGCGGT